CTGTTGGCAAAAAATCAGCAACGCTGTAGGAGTTAATACTAACTTTATTATACAATATTTAAAAAGTCATTTCTCTACCTGTCCCCTTGTAGCTTGCATTGTGCTGCAGTTAATTCACTGAAACTGCAAGAGTAAGTGCTTACTTTCGAGAAGGACAAGTGATTGCATTTTAAAAAGAAATACACATTTAATGACAGCAGATTTGCTAGAAACGGTAGCTTCAGAATTGCTTTTGAACAGTCAGGTTCCTCCAAAAGTCAATTGTACGATTGGCTTCACTCTTGTGATGCTCGTAACAAGGCAAGCGGGAACAGAACGGGCTGAACGTGTTAATGCTCTTACACCAACAGTCACGTACAGAATCCAAGCAGAGTTAACACAGAGCCAAGCAGAAGGTAATAAAAAGGCCAAATTCAACTAAGTTCATACAAATACCAAACTAATCTTATTTTGAATTTCATGTATTTTCTGAAGCAAAGTTATTTCCTGATTCCATTTTCAATAGCTCCTTTCCCCGGATCGCACGCACAGGAACCTCCGGGGGGCATCGGCCGCTCGGCGGAGGGGAAGGGCTTCCCGCGAGCCTCCCGGGCAGCTTCGAGGGACACAGCGAGAGGATCCGAGGGTTTATCTGCAGTTTCTTGCTCGCTCCAGGCTCTGAACCGATCCCGCGTGGGTCGCGGGAGCACCTAGCACAGCCTTGAGAGCGAGGTGAGTATGGCACAAGGATATTTTACTTTCTGACTTTTAAAAACGAGGTTCCAGTCTTGGCAAATCACTGCTCGCAGCAAAGGGCCCGGGGTGCCTCAGGGTCCGTCTTCGTATCACAGAGCCGTGAACAGGGCACTCGGTGGCCTCTCTTCCCTCCCCTAGAGCGGAGGCTCAAGAATAACTGAGGCGGCACCTCCTTGCTCCTGGCTCTCCGGATCTGCCTTCCCCGCGGTTCGGTCAGTAACGCAGTAAGCGACGTTGAGATTTTTCCAGAGATACCAACATTACACACAACAGACTAAAATTAAGCAAAGTGTCCCATCGCTATAATACAAACTGAAGATAAAAGAGGTGCTCACCCATAAATTAAGAGTACCCTTGAGCAACCTAAGAGCAGCCTCTTCCGCACCAACACAGCTGCTTTACGATCGACAGAAAATCTCCTCCTTGCAGCGTGATCTAATTCCTCCCATCCTTCCCAGGCCACTGCTGGCGCAGACTTTATGTTATTAGCGCTTCTATTTTACAACACAGAGTATTTACAAGCAGCCAGGAAAGACACGTTTCTAACCCAGCAGCCAAGCTTTGCGCTGCCGCGCTGGACTGCAAGAGAAGTACCAGACTCGCAAGAGGCGTCTGGGAAGTGGCAAGGGAATTGGACATTTCTGAGAAACCTCTCCAGTCTCTCGCTTCGAACATTTGCTCGGTGAAAACCCAGCAGAGCACAGAAAGCCGTTTCTTTTTACTTCCTCCTTCACCAGCTTTAGAGATAGCCAAGATAGGCAGCAAGTTCTGGCTCGGTGGCGGCACCCG